GGTTATCTCCACATATATAGATTATACAGTAGGCATTCCTGACAATGGCACAGGGGTAAGTTCTCGGAAGCCACAGAACTTCGAATATTCTCAGTGAACCTTCTGGAAACACTGAAGGTTCATGAGGATAATAGGTGTACCAAGAACCTTCTAGGTTGTTGTAGAAGCGTCTCAATTATTCAGGTCACATGGAGAATTATCTTGAAGGGCAGTAATTTAGAATGTATATATGTATGTGTAGACTTTACCTTGAAGAATTCTCTCTCCAGAGAATTATAATCAATATGCTGTACTTATAAGATCGCCAAATTATTTTGTACTGAAACCGTGACAAGCTACTACAATACGTAGTAGCTTCAGATATAGTTTACCGTGCAATACTTTTGTTGTAATTCTAACAGTCCTGCATCTGTTACACTAGTCATGTACTATCTCGTTTTCGTTTCCGTTATTTGTATCATTTAATACTGCGCCACATCTATTTTCTGTAACATTAATTAGTCTTGGCGCTTAACACAAGATATGTTGGAAATTATGGTATATGCATGATTCTGTCTTACACTCAGCTAGCTTGGGGGTCTACTGGTGGTCAAGACATACCATCACCATGATAATGTCGCCATACTGGGACATGGGCGCATATCCTGGCTTATTTCTAAATTCGTCTCAGTAGGACTAATTCCTGTATATATATGTAGTGTTCTTCTACTTCAGAAATCCTCAGTTCATTACATTTACTGAATATCTCTGAAGGTAAGACCTCTTACAGTAGTTACTCCAATTTAAGTTCATTACATTTACTGAATATCTCTGAAGGTCTATTCATACCCTCTTCGTGTCACCCTACCAAGCTTCACCCTTAAGCTCTATTCAACTGCTTCATTGTTCGGCATATATCCTTCACCTCCCTATACCATTCCAGCATTCCTCTACGATCCATAACCTTACAATAACTTTCACCTGAGCTACATGCCTGTTACGGGGCGAGAGTGTTACGGCGAGGGTCAGATGATGATAAGATCGCCGTCTGCTAAGATTGGAGATGGGTGGTCGAATGAGCTGGCGAGATACCAGGAGGTCAAAACTGAAGAACTAGAAGCTGGGACTGGAGGACGAGAGATCAAGACGAGTAGAAAGACGAGTGCGATTTTCGGACTATGGAGATATAAGATTGAGAAGCTGGAGAACTACTTCGTGGTAACTCCAGCTTCCTTAAGTACACTAGACTACGTAATGAATTTCAACTGAGGCTTTGGGATCATTAGGTTATAACTCCAGCCCGTCTAACTCTAGCTTTCCGAGTTTCCCGGAAACTTAGTTATTGAACCTTCCCCGAGATCTGTTTCCCGAGAACCTTCTCCTTAACCCTTGTCCTTGAACCTTTTCCTTAGAACCTTATCCTTGAACTTGCCTCAAGGATGCCTAGCCATAACAGAGAGAGTATACAAGATATAAGTCACGGGACAAGATATAAACAAGATAGGTAAGATGGAACGTAGACAAGATAGGATGCAGACAAGATATGGAAATCTAACAAAACGTCGCACGCCCTCTAAAGACGTGAACGAGGACTACTTAAGGGTCTCCTCGGACTAGCTCGACGCTAGTGTCAATAATAACACCAGTCCTCTCTATTCCTGTACAATTGTGTTACTATGACAACTAGACCCCCTCAAGGGCGAGGATAGGACAGTGTTCCACAGGGTGCGTACGTGGTCTATCGAAGATCTAGGTGGTAGATGGAGGTGATGAGTGGGTCGAAGGGATGACTGGTCTTCTCTAGGAAGAGACAAATAGGTAGATAGTAGCAATAGAGGCTACATGTGGGTCTTGCTGATGAAGAGCTGGAAAGAGATAAATGGTCTTCCCAAAGAAGAGATGGGTAAACAGATGTATTGTTAAGTTAATTGAAGAAGACGTTGCGTGAAGAATAATGCTTCTTCACGCCGAGTATTTATATACGTAAAATTTGTTAAATGACAAGGTGTGTCTAGCTGCTACAGGGGCAATCCGAGTCAGGCAGAGTCAAACACATGAGTCGCGTCAATTACGCTATTCATGCAGATCAGTTGCATGGAGGAAAATTTGTACTTAGGAGTCTGGCTGTCTCGATCTTAGTATACTTTTAGTTAACTCGAATATCTGATTCTATCTGACCTTAATCCACTGTGCTAATTCCATCGTCTTCTATACAGTCATACTGCAATAGAAGTCCCCCCAATTAATAAAATTACCAAATAGCACGTATCACACAGCCCCTATGCCCAACAATCTGCTACACATCACCTAATGAAACTAACCTATTCTTATCAGTCTTCCTTGCTGGTTTTAGAAGCGCATTAAACCATTATTTGTGTTTTAACTTAACTGTCTGCATGGCGTTTCATATTATGCTATGCCACAATGATCCATGAAAAACCCCCACCGCTGCTTAGACATGCTTTCACCCTTTAATGGAGAGTCATGATATGAACCATGACAAATAGCCGGCTTTGACAAAGCCTACTAGGCAAGTCTATGACGGCTTGTAAGCCGGTAATTGCCTGTAGCCTGCGCTGTCTAGCGCTGGCTTAGCATGAAATAAGGAGGAGCCTAATCTCGGAAGGAGGGGCTTATAAGTGTCAATAATAATGTTGTAACAGGTCTAGAAATGAGGCACGAGAATGTGATACGAGTAGGGAATACAAGTAGGGGATATAGATATACAGATAGAAATCTATGTCATTGGCTGGGATAATGTCAAACTCGAGGGTACCAGGGGTTGTGTATGATGGATAACTTAGAAGTGCGAGTGATATCTGACAAGATTTGTCATAGACTAAGGTAATAATTCGGGATTCTAGCTATAACTGAGGACAAGTGACAAGAGAAATTAGGACAAGAGACAAGGTCAATGGAAGACGGAAAACAAGACGTGGCCCTCTACATCAGCTTTACCCAACCCATATATACATCATAGTAACCAGAGCAACTAAGGCTTCAAGGGGTGTGCCTGCTGCTATTCTATTACTTCATTTGTAATCCATAGCAACCATTGTAACCCGGTAAATGCTCTAAGATGAGAGAATATTCAGATGTAGTGTAGGGAAATAATATGAGGGTGCTGCTATATCCTCAGTTCCTGACACCTAGTAATAACTAGACAAGTAACTAAGAAAGTGTATACCTGAGAGTAAATCTGGTGGGTTGATGGAGTTGGCGGGATGCCAGGATGCCAGGATGCCAGGACGTTGGGACTGCGGGGCGGGAGGTCAAGACAAGCTGTAAGATATTCTGAGAATATTAGACTATGAAGATATAAGATTGAGAAGCTGAAGAACTCTTTAGGGTAACTCCAGCTTCCTTAAGTACAACTACTACGTGCTAGATTTAAGTGAGGCTTTGAAGGTTATGTCATGATGAGCCCTTCCAACTCCAATTGTTGGAGTTCTCCCGGAAATCTTCTCATCATACCTTTTCCCGAGAAATTTCTACTTGAACCTTCTCCCTGAACCTTCTTCAAGGATGTGGCCATAACACGTGGAAACACATGTCTCCCCATTACATTAAAACAAGCCTTGCAAGGAAGCTTCGCTTGGCTAACCCTGCAATCAAGCAGATTACTGTCATCAACTCATGGTTTGCAGTACAAGCTGAAGGAGATGGAGCAAGAGACGCGCTCCTCTCGGGCGTAGTACTCATGGAGAGCACATGAATGAAATTAGAAGCTGCCTCCAAACTGGTATTGGTATTAGCTCCAAATGCACCAGATAGGTTTTTGTCAAAGCAGCATGTAGACATCAGGAGGGAGACATGGGTCTCAGAGGTGATATTCAGGCTAAAGGGTGCCATCCTACATTGCGCATGAGACAGGTGCATAGCCGCTCGACCAAAAGGCCAGACCGGAATCATAGAACACTAAAAACCGGTTAACTCCACATATATATAGATTATACAGAAAGCAATCCTGACAGCTCTATACCTTAGAAGGACCAATACCAGTCACACCGGAGATGGTGATAGAAGAAGCGACCCTAAAAACGGGCGTTAGACTGACCTCGGCTCGAGCGTATGTGACAAGCATGGCAAGGCCATCAACCAACTGGGTGCTGCATTTTGCAGCCGGTAAGCCAAAGCTGGGTGAAAGACTTTTCGAAGAGAGTGGTCGCCTACACGAACTCCAGCGCAAGGCCAAAATCACGCAATGTAACTGATGCTGGGAACATTACCAAACAAAGATTTGCTCACGAGCGGAGCAATGCTCACATTGTGGATTTATTGGGCATAAAGCATCTGTCTGCAAGCAGACCATCCCGAGGTGTATGAACTACCATTGGCCACATTCAGCCATCGAGCCTCACTGCATGGCTAGACCAACCCGGATTGGCGGCAAAACTGTGCAGCAAACTAAAGACCTGCTATCGGTTATTGTTGTGGTTATGAGCTGTGAGGTGTATGGCAATTGTGACTCTGCTGTCCGTCGGCGGAGTGGCATGGGCTCATGTGCAATGGTGAGCCGTGGAGATGGCGCACACACGCTGGGTGATGGCACAATTGTCACTGAGAGCGTATCACTGTGGCCAAATGGGTGTCAGTAGGTATCAAATGTGAACTCTTACTGACACTGGTGATCTATGAAGATGATGCTAGATGTGCATCCCGACAATTGATAATATCATCTAATGTGATCGTGGTTCAAGAAGTGGTTCAAGATGTAGTTCAATGTATCTCTATAACATGAATAAGACAAGAAGCTACTGAACATCAATGTCCTCCAAGTTCCTTAAATACATCTTTCTGTTCTAATATTCCTACTCATATTTGCATGTACCATTCCATTCCTACTTCCCTAACTCCCTTAGCTCCATGACCCATATGTAAGAATATACTACTACAAGAAGGATCGTTTGTGGTTAGGCATGACATGACCAAACTCGTTACTTCTAAGCTAAGAGATTATTGCAACATAATGATGGAAGCGCTAGCAACTGCAATCAGTAAGGTAGTCGGCCTTAGCTCGATTAGGAAGCTGCTATGAACGGAAATGATAAATATGATGTAGCACGGCTCGTGTTATAACTCAATTTACACGGGATCATGTCATTCTGGAGTAAATTATGACATCTAATGGATGATGTGAAGTATGATATTATATGGATAGATTGATTCACTAAACCTCGGCAGGTCAAGAGATTGTAGAGTACATGAACAGCTTCTGTGCACCAGCCTGTATTTTCCACCCTTTCCTAATCCAGCAGCCCATCTTCCGTTCCCCTGTCTCCTAACAACTCAACCGAGCCAGCACAACAGTTTTACGTGAGCAAGGTAAAAAGGAACGGAACCCTTGAATCTGAGAGATGGAAGCAAAGCAGAAAGCCGCCGAAGCGACTGCCAATAACGAAACTACAAACGAAGCTCAATGCCCGCAAGAGACCACGACCTTACCGAGCTCCATACAACAGCAACTACAATCTCGTCCCTCTGTGCTAATTTGGGCAGAGGAGACCCCGCTACCGACATCATCCTGCAATCCGCTTGGGATTCAGGAACCAATATCCTACTTATCCAGGAACCCTAGACTCAACACAAGGACGGCTTCTGGCTCACCAAGTTGCATCCTGGATTCAATAGGCATTTAACTTCCCGCGTCGCAGTCAACTATTCAAGGCCATTGTTGGAACGTTAGCTTTGTAGTTATATTTATTGGGATAGGTTACCGGCGTTAGCAACTGGGATGATTGTCACTTGGTTTTAGGTGTATGATTAGTCAGCATATCCCTGGACAAGTAGTTTGTAAAACTAGATAGAGAGGAGGTAGTGTTGTAATGGAAGTTGTGTAGAGAAGCTTAAGCTGTTAGGCTTGTATTTAATATCACCTAGTGAAGCGAGTTGGGAGATTGAAGAGTCTGAAAACTATAGTGGAGAGTTGTTGATTAAACCCACTTAGTATCAGAGCGCTATTTAAACAAATTACTACATCTAAGTGAAGGAATCACGAGAAGAGGAAGTGGCAGGAAGGCAGCTCTAATGTAGAGATGAAAGAAGTAGATTGGCTATGAGGAGAGAGTATCTAGAGGCGGACAGGGACTATATGCTAACGTGCACGTACCACAAGTACTCACGCTATTGTGCCTAGGGCCAGGTTGAGGCGAGGCCGTAACTGAAGGGCACAATTCACATGTTTATACTAAATAATTGGGAGGCTGGTCAATGTATGAGTTGTCATGAGTGTGGCTAGTAATAATAGAACCTTATTACGTTCCGTATTAATGCGCCTCTTCATTGCCAAGTAGCGCCAATTTCAACAGAGAGAGATAGATATTTACAATTAACGCTAACGATCAAGTCAAATACTACAGTAGAGAAGTGATCACTCCTGTTTTTACCAACAGCCATGTGCCCTCATCTATACGCGAAAAGGGATCAAGTGCCAACAGCAAGCAATCTGCAAGACATCACCAGATCTCACTGCAGTAAAGGTAGAAGGATTCACATTTGTCTTAGTATATTGCGTTCCTGGAGCACACCTTTTGCCGCTACTATCATGGGCTCCATCTGAGCGTACAGTCATTGGCGGAACTTTCGATACCGTTCACACCTATTGTGAGGTTATGGATCTTAGAGGAATGCTGGAATGGTATAGGGAGGTAAAGGATATATGCCGAACATCGAAGCAGTTGAATAGAGCTTAAGAATGAAGCTTGGTAGGCTGACACAAAGAGGGTATGAATAGACCTTCAGAGATATTCAGTAAATGTAATGAGCTGAGGATTTCTGAAGGAGAAGAACACTACATATATATACAGGAATTAGTCCTACTGAGACGAATTTAGAAATAAGCCGGGATATGCGCGCCCATGTCCCACCATGGTGAAGGTATGTCTTGACCACCAGTAGACCCCCAAGCTAGCTGAGTGTAAGACAGAATCATGCATATACCATAATTTCCAACATATCTTGTGTTAAGTGCCAAGACTAATTAATATTACAGAAAATAGATGTGGCGCAGTATTAAATGATACGAATAACGGAAACGAAAACGAGATAGTACATGACTAGTGTACCAGATGCAGGACTATTAGAATTACAACAACACCGACTGTTAGCCAATGGCTACTAGGCTATAAAGCGAAGACCAGGTGCTTACCAAATGGATGTCCGAGCACAGTATGGACCTATCTTCTGCACCGGGCGTCCCAACACACGATCTTGGAAATACACTCGACCTAGTCTGGTCTAACGCTCGTGCCCTTGCAGATGTCTCGATAGAGCTTGACTTGACATCGGATCACAGAACTCTTGCAGGAGACGTTCCCCATCCGAACTCGAAAGCTAGAGCTATCATTAGAACTAGCCAACCGTTCCGAGTGACAGACGACGCCCTCGAAGACTTTGCCAAGGTGATTGGTAGGTGGGCTCAGTGAATAGGGATACATCCATTGGTCTCAGTAAGCAAGGTGGATAACCTCGCTGATAAGCTGACCCAGACTGTAAGCAATGCTATTAGGGCTACTGGAAGACGCGAGAGTGCAAAGAAGGGAAGGACAATGTCAGGTAACTGGTAGCCTGTCACGGACTGGCCCTGTAATGTTGTGTAGCACCTGGCAAACCGTGTCATGAGTGTACTCAAATCACAGTTAATGCGTTGCGATAGTTACAGTGTTGCGATAGCAACAGTAACCACCCAAGATACCAGTTAGTTGCTATGACACGGATGTAGGCTATGGCATCACTGGTTATGGTGACTGCCCTCATGTACTTAAGGGAGCTCTGAGACTGTTTTTGTACTGTAGCTTCTTGTCTTGTAAGTTACTTACTCTCTTGGCCTCTTCTTCGTACTCGTCCTCGTCTTCATCTTAGTCCGCGTCCTACTCTCCGTCCTCGTCCTAGTCCACCGTCCGCGAGCCCTGACACAGTGCTGCTGCTTGCTTGAGTCCATAAAGGCCTTTATGGAGTCGGATGATATAGCCATCTTTTTCGTAGCCTTTTGGTAACTCCATGAATAAGTCAATATTGAGGTCTGGATTGAGAAATGCTGTTGGTACGTCGCCTTGTTTTCTGTGCCAACCTAGTTGGTGTGCGAGGACAAGAATAATGCGTCCTGTTTCTGGTCTAGGTGTGGGAGCGAACGCCTCATGGTAATCAATGCCTTGTTGCTGGGTGAAGCCTTTAGCTGTACATCGAGCCTTATATTTTTCAATATCGCCGTTAGCTAGGTATTTCTTCTTAAATACCCATTTGCACTTCATGGGTTTGCGGCCTTGGGGTAGTTGTGACCGTGGAATTATCTTAATTGCGCCCTTTTGCTTTAGTGAGCTGAATTCTTCATCTGCTGCCCTTTTCCACTGCGACGCTTCTGTGCAAGTCATGGCTTGATCCCATGTTTGCGGATCAGTGGTTGCTTGTGCTGTCATGCCGTGATGTAGTCAATAGTAGTCTACACGCTTGATGGTTCTCCCTCGCTGTGACCTTGTGATGCTTCCTTCTGGTGAGTGTTGACGCTTAATGCCGGCCATTGGCGGTATTGGATCCCAGCAAGTCATGACACGATCTAGCGGTTGGTCTGGCTCTGATGTTTCTGCAGCAGATATCTCCCTCTGATCAGAAAGTTGTTTTTTTGGTCTTTGAATGACTTGCTGATCTGTTTGATGCAGTGTAATTTCGTGAGCAGCTGGCAAATTGGGTATGGTGTGAACATTGTGCAATTCTGCTACTTGATCAATCGCGTGTGATGCGGGCTGTGTATCATGCGTGTCGTTCGACTGCAGGTTGGTAGAAGGTTGGGGAATGGTTATAGGTTGCTCCCTCTGGTCATCTTGACCATGATGGGGTTGGTAGTTTTGTGGTTGATGCCCCGGTTGATGCCCCGGTTGATGCTGAGTACTCGTGTTACTATGCGAAGTACATGGTGGTTGAAAATGTTGCGACTCTGAAAATATGGAGTTGTAATTGGTCCAGTAGCTGGTTGTCTGCTGTTGGTCTATGGAGTTTAACTCGTTGCCGAAAACAATATCTTCGTTGAAAGATGCATGAGGAGTTATGCTCAATGACCATTTCCAACCATGGGTAGGTGTCCAATGGGGATGATAGATGAGGAAGTTTTTATTGGTATTTATTTGAAATCCAACAAACCAGCCCATCTCAGCCCTAGGATCAAATTTGCCTGGTTTTGGGTGAATGTATTTATATGCGCGACATCCAAAGCGTGGGAGGTTGGTGAAGTCAATTTGATTGGGATAAGGCTGCTTCAGACCTTGGAGGAAATCTAACAGTGGTATCAATTTTGTTCGCAAACAATATAGACAATTAGTGATGAAGCAGGCATGTTAGACTGCCTATGGCCAGTAACATGCGGGCATTCTGGCGTCTATAAGCATAAATCTAGCTCGTCTCAGTGTGACCTTGTTAGACGCTTCTGAGGTGTCATTCTGCTCGGGTGTGTATGGAGCAGAGATGTCTGTCCTAATGCCATGTTGATCACAATGTAATTTGATACGGGTAGATTCTGACCCCCCATCCCTGAAGATTGTGCGGACTCTTTTTCCGTATTGATGATGCTGTTGCTCGACCTATTGGACTAGTTCTGTTGCGATTTGGTCTTTTGTGCACGTGGAGATAGCCCATCTCATGCGTGTTCTGGCGTCGGTGATGATTACGGCATACTGATGCCCGTTATGTGCTGTTGTTAATGGGCCAACTGTGTCAATGAACACTTCATCTAGTGGGTCAAATGGGGTCGGTCTTGGTTCTCGTGAGACATGGCGTTGTGCCTTACTGAGGTGGCATGTTTCACAGGTGGTTAATTCTGCTGTGTCTAATCCTTCCATTCCTATGGTGCATTGCGCTGTCTTTTTCAAAATCTTTTGACCTGTATGCCCTAGTCTTTGATGCCAACGTTGTGCACTAGACGTCTTCGGGACTCTTGCAACACCAGGGGCTGCAGTGTGTATGTGTTTTTCCGGAAGATGTGTCAGTGGTTTAATGTAGTAAACGTCATTTTTGCAAAGTAGTTCAGCTATTGGCGTTTCTTCATAGTTTGGTTTACAAGTTATTAAGCGTGTCATGTCAGCGTTACATGTTATGTTGCCTAATCTCTGTA